CCCCAAAACCCCAAAACCCCAAAACCCCAAAACCCCTCACAAATATTTTAAAATTGAGATTTTATAAATAATTTATTGCTAAAATGAACACTACAGAAACCGTAAAAGTTAAGTCGGATAAGGACTCTTCTACAGTGTCTATGTCAGGAAGTGTGGCGCATGGGAATGCAAACAGTGGGGGTGGAGAGAGTTCGGGAGGGCTGAGAGAGATGTGTAAATAAGCACTCGAAGATGATTTTTAAGAGTTATGAAGCGCAGATAAGCTCAAACGAGACATATAAATTTAAGAAGGCTTTGATAAAAAGCTCGTATAAAAAGAAGAAGGGTACTCCTGAAGAGCAACAGAAGCACTACCTCCAAATCTTATACTCAATCAAAGACCTTAAAGACACAATTGAGAGGGATCAAAACAAAAGCAGTCTCAAAAAGAAAAGAGAAACCAAAAAGAACCCTCCAACACCTAAAAGGAAAGTAAAGGAAGTACATAAGGAAGAGTTCAAGATCGAAGATCTCTCTTCAAGTCTTGATACCAAAAATAAAACTAATACACAACATAAAACGAAAGAAATTAAGCAGAAAGAACTCAAAAGCTCATCCAAAAGTGTTCGGTTCGAAGTTCAACAGGAGAGTTTAGAATCGAAGGAGGATCAGTCTGATAGCCAAGAAAAGAAAGTATCAAGGAAATCCCATAAAAGAGTTAAGGTAGATGAAAAAGAAGAGGTAAATCCTAACGAGCCTGTTGAAGAACGTAAATGGAATGACGGCAAACATAGGAAAATGAAGAACGGAGCATTCACAGAAACAGAAGTCATTATTCTTAGAAAAGCAATCTGTGAATACGGACTCGAAAATAACTTCTCACAAGAAGATATCAGAAATCTAGTAAATGAGAGTTCTAAAGAGAAAGGATACTCTAGAGCTTGGGTCGAAATTGCTAAATCTCTACGTAAGTCTCTTTCTCTAATAACCGAATTTAGCCAATAGAACTGTTTATGCATGTCAGAAGGCAGCTAAAAGGAAATTTAGTAGTAACAACTATAAAGGAAAATGGAATGATGAAGAAGAAATGCATCTTGTAGAGCTTGCCAAAACATTAGGAAATTCATGGACTAAGATTGCAGAAGAGCTGAATAGAACAGCTGAGAATTGAAGAGACAAGTTTAGAGAACTTGGCGGTCTCTCCTCAGAGAAGAGAAAGAAAGGAAAATGGAACTTTGAAGAAAAGCTAGAACTTATAAAAATTATAGACTCAATTACAAACGTTAGTTTTCTTAAAAGAGTCGGATCCTGAAGGTTTAAACAAGCTGAAGAGATGAAGGAAGGGGAACTAACCGAAAAGGAAGAAAGACTCCTCGAAAAAGGATTCAAGAAGAAGAAAGACGGAATTTTGTTCTATAGAGAATTTGAGTTGAGAGATATTGCAGATCTTTTAATCACCAAACCTGAAGATGTCCCACTGAGTAACCTCCCATGGGCAGATATTAGCAAAGAAATCGTAAGCTTTAATGAGTAAAAACGTAGAAAAAGTCAAAGATAGTTGGAGAGGAATCTGGGTCCATTAGATCTTATGATGATTGTAAAAATGAGTGGAAGAATGTGATTTATCCAGTTCTATCTCAGACATCTTGTAAGGATAAGAGAGCAGATATTAAACTACTCACTCATATCATTGATTGAGAGTACGATTCAGATGTAGAAATAGACTTTTCGATTATCGAAAATGACCGTGACGAAAAACATAACAAAACAAGATGGGATATTCTGCTCAAGAATTTGGGAAATTCTAAAATCCCTAAAACCACCACTGAAAAGGCTGAAAAACTGTTAGAAATTATAAAAAACAGAAAAAGAGTAACCCCAAAGCCTAAAGAGAGCAAAAAGCCAGTCCACCAACAGATTGAAATCGGTAAATTTTATGCTGAATTCTACTAACTCAACAAAATTTGGCTAAAAGGGGTTTTGGGGTTTTGGGGTTTTGGGGTTTTGGGG